GGCCCAGGAGTCACGGTGGCCACATGCTTTCCTTCTCCTGCTCTTTGGCTTTAAAGGCAGACAGGAGCTGCAAGAAAATGGGGGATGAACCTAACAGAATCACAGATCCTCTGGAACCTACAAGTCAGAAAAGCTATTGTGTTTTCTTGAAAGGTTTTTTTTTTGTATTGTCGAAGGCTTTCAAATCAGAGAGCTCTTTGCCCCACCCCAGTCATTCCACAGATATATAAACCCATTTTCCTATTTCCAACAGACCTCACTACCTCTGAGGATGCTTGCCATAGATGCAGGCGAAACGTCAGGAGAAATGCCTCTAGAACATGGCCCTATAGCCCGAAAAAACCTACAAGAACCTGGGGTTTTTTTTTTTTTTTTGGTCAGGCTTTGGAAGCATCTGTGATTCCCCTCACAGCCCAGTGAGTAACGAGGGTCCCAAAGGTTCCTCTTAAGAAACCCAACACTTTGGTGGAATATTCATGAGGCTTGAACGCTATTTGGTAGGTATCCAAGGTTTTGCTTTTGTCTGACCTTCAATTCCTAGCAGATCTCTTGTGTAGCGTTGCAAGGTCCTGAATATCAGTCTGTATTCTTCCTGGCTTGACTTTGCATTAATGTCTAGGTTGTATTCACACTCACTTTGAAGGGGATATGTGCTACTGGGCTTGTATTTTATTATTTTTGTTCTCCGTGTGATTGAAAATGTGGTATGCAACACTACCACCAGACTTTGTGTGTCTCAAACAATACCTAAAGAATAGCAACATAAAGTCTTAGAAGTATAAGCAAGCCAATTCCCGTTCACCTCACCTTTGAGTTTTCTTTCCATGTCACTGTTCTATCCCATCTCTTCTTTCCAACTGACCCTAATACTCCACATTTCAACTGAAGACTTAGAACACACACTTTTTGTTCTATTTTAACATTTCCCACCTTTCTCCCAATATGAAACCTAAGGCACTTACCACATCGGATGAAACCATTTTCGCTTGCTTGGAAGTAAACTGCATTGAATTTAGTGGGCTTCCATATAAGTAGTTATGCATAGAGTGGCACTGTTCACTCATAAACAGATTAAATGCAGCTGCCTGTAAACCACAGGTGGGTAGCATTTGCTTAAAAAGCGAAATATGGAACTTTGGTCCAACTTGAAAACAAGATGCATCTCTCCTTGCTTTAAAATGATAGCTTTTTGCCACCATCAGTTCTACAGCAAACCTTTTTGTGACATATTTGCTATAAACCCTGAATCTTGGCTCATTGTCCATCACAGCATTCTAGACCATTCTAGAACTCTGGAGAGCTTACAGATTCTTATCAGGCAATTCAAAGCTTGTTTTTAAAACATTTCTTTCTACAGACTGACAGTCTTCTGAAGAAACCACTACGTATTTGGATGAAGAGAGTGATGCCATTTCATTAACAGACTTTCATTCACCATCAAGAGCAGTGGTTCTTAACCAGTGGGCCATGGACCACCAGTGGGCCGAAAGGAAAAAAATCCGGTCTGTGAGCCTCCTTCCTCTTTATTTATTTATTTTTATATATTTTATTTCTGTTCCTTTTGCACCACCTGCTACTCCTTCCCCGTCTCTGACAATGGCATATGTTCTGTGTCAGAAACTAGAGCCGATGTGGTCTATCCAATGCAATTTTCTGAATCAGTACCTTAAACCAAATCTAAAGTTGACCAAAACTGATTCATAACCCTTTTGGTATTAATGTTGGAGAGTGGTCTCTGGTCAAAGTGGCCCTGGTCAAAGTGGTCCTTGTTAAAAAAAAAAAAGGTTCGGAACCCTTTGTCAAGAGGGAAAAGTCAAGTCTGCAATTGCTTTGTATTCCTATCAGGAATGCTCTTCTTCAGCTTTCTTCTTGTTCATGACCTGGATACTCTGCTACAGCTAGGTTAAAAAAACGGCATTTCCTTTTCCCCATTCTAGTTTCCATTATTGATCTGTCTACAACAAATAGTCAGCATTCCTTGAATTGTGAGCATACATACACAGCTATCATGGAGTTATGTCTTTTTTAGAACACTGTTCTTTTGCAAACTGTAAGATTTCCTTGAACCTGTTGTCACTTCCTTCTTGCTTCTCAGTGGTTCTTTGGGCTCCCAATCTTTTATACTCATCATTTGAATTTGCTATTAAATTCTTGCCATTTCTTTCCCAGTTCCCAGATGCCCCAACCAGCATGGCCAGGATAAGGATTTCTAGGAACTGCAGTGAAAAATACCTGGGAGTCTGAAAGCTGAACATAACCTCCCACTTTGGTGAGACCTCTACTTTATGATCTCCCACTTTGGGAAACAGCACACTGTGAATGCAAAAACTGTAAATGCAAAGCACACTGTTCATGCTGTCAGAAACCGTTGCTTCGAAGTAGGGTTGATTTACATTAAGATTTATAGCAAAACTTAAAATAAAATCTTAGAACACAGTTCTCTTGGCCATGACTATAAGGATGCACCAAATTACATATCATACTTTAAAAAAACCTAGCTCAATTCTTCCTTCTTGTATTCATTCCATTACAGCTTCATCCAAATACATAAAATCTTTATGGAGATGTTTGCCTGTGTGTTTAGAAATGCCTATTGAAACATACTTGATCTATATAAAGTTCGGTTCACTTGAATTGTGCAGTAACCAAAGCATTTGCATTGGTTAATCTGTGATGAGAGGCGGCAGCAACACAATCCCAGAAGAAACATATTCTGGCTTTTTCACTGCAAACACCAAAGCTTATAAAGCATCAAAACTGCTTAGCAAAACATTGCATAGTGCCCTAGACGTTTCCCTCATTACAGAAAAGGACCCAAGCTGGGGTGGGTTGCAGGAATGAAGTAACAGTTCTGAAAATGTTATTTTACGTATCATTCTCATGTGTTGAAAACTGGCTTGAATGTGCTGGAAAACAGGTCAAGTGTTCAAAACCAGTTAGAATAAAATGAGACTCGTGATGGTGAAATTTGGCTGCAGGCCTGCATCCAATTAGTCATGTCTTAACAGTCTTTTTGTTAATAGTTCTCTGGCATTGGAGATGGTGGGGGAGGTATGTATATGCTTGTCGACTTATGATGACCCCATGAATTTCACAGGGTTTTCTTAGTAAAGGAATATTCAGAGGTGGCTTTGCCTGTTCCTTCCTCTGAAAGAGGGTAGATTTATATTATTGGTCTCCTCTTCCAGTAACTTTTGCAGTCATTGCTAGATGGGAGTCTGAAACAGACTAGCGTGTTTATATATCTGAAGGAATTGCTTAAAGGATTGCCTAGACTGGCTAAAAGACTCCAACACAGGATGGTCACTTTTAGATTTCATAAGCCTTAGAAATCAATGTGCAGTAGCTTCCTTGAAATCACTTAATGCCATCAGGTATTCTTCAAGAATGGGGAAAACAATTTTATCAGACACTGTGGAGTATGACTGTACCCAATGTGTGTAACTTCTTGCCTAGTTATGATATTTTATTGAATACAAAAAGAAAAATGGGGAAGAAACTTTGAATAGATACTTACATTTTCTCTTCCCTACTTGCTTTTTCATGCTGACTTTAGTTGCGCCAGAATCCACATATTGATTGGTAAGCAATCTGGAATGTGTATAGCATGAAAGACATGTTAAAAAACACATGTTCAACTATTTAAAATAATAAGCTGCTATCATAAAATGTGATTTTCAACTGGACTACCCATAAGTAAAAGGAGTCACCGAGAGCGCTTTCAGACAGCAGCAAATCGCGGGTTTTGATCAGGGGCAAAAAAAATGCTGGGACTTTAGAAGGTCTACATTCTGTTGGTCCCAGGATTTCTGCCTCCGTCGTCCACACTTGTTGCTTCGTTGCAGGATTTAGAAACTCTCAAGATAGCCACTCTGGGATGCCCATTTTCTTTTTAAAAAAAGAAATTCAAGATGCGAATATGCGAAGATGCAAATAATTGTATAAGTTCAGTTTCTGGGTTATTTAAGCTGCAGGGCAATCTGTGCAGACAGGGTGTTGTTCCTGGGTTATACATGTCTGTTTCCAATTGCTCTTATTGTGAAACGATGCATTACATTGACTAGGGGGCCACAACTTTGTCCTGGACAGAGAAAATGTGCCCTCCATGCATTTAATAAAGTTTCTGGCACACAAGCAAAGTTTCCGGGTTCTACTCAACTAACACCTTTTTAGGAACTGACCAATCAGAAACAAATATTTAAAATCCGGGAAGATTTCCGATTGTAGGGACATACAGACATTCAAATATGTAGATTTTCAGCTCAGAAGCAGGATATTCCCACACCTGAAAAACCTCTCAGTTTTTGCCATTTGTAGCGATTCCTGGCCACCCTGATTGCTGCAGAAGCTCCTGGGATAAAGGTAGTCTGGACGGGCCCTGAGTTCCACTAACTGAAAAATGCTGAATGCAAGCCTTGTGCATAAAGTTAGGTTAAAGTGTTTTTTTAAAAAAATACCTCAGTTATTATCTGCTTCCTCCAAAATTTAGTTCTTTTTATACCAGCAGATATGGACTAGGAGCCGGCATCTTATAGCTTCACGTAATGGTGATGCTATAACGCAAAGGCACACAAAGGCAAGATGGATCACTTCCTTTTGTCACCTTTGATCCATCTTGACATGGTGACTTCGTAAGAAAAGCTCATGTGATTTCCTCTGGCTATTCCGTGCCTGATCTTTCCCAAAGATCTTTCCCTTGAATATATAAATTACATGTTCACATCAGTTGTCCTTTGACAATACACAATGCCACTGAAGTATCTCTAAAATACTGAGAGAAAATCCTATTTTTAAACCTTGCGCTTTGCTCTTACATCTGCCTGTTTAAACATGTCCTGGGATTAGGACATAATCCTAACTTGAGTTTTTGTAGCTGGATCAAATTCCATCTCGTTTTCTAGGTGGAGAACAGAAAATAAAAAGCTGCCAAAGAGCTGATAGCTCAAGGTATTGAAAGTCATTCCTGTTTGTTCAACTAAAAGCACAAGAGAGACACTCAGTTCATGGGAATAATTTATTCTTTTCGAGCATTTGAAATTGTATCAGGTGTTTATTTACATGGGAGCCCTCGGTGCATAAAATACTCATTAGGTACTGCACAATCGCTGCATTCATCAAACAGGTATGATTAACATCATCCCCATTCTATTTATTGAGATCATTTGCAATTCAAATATTGGGTCATTCCTTTCCCAGCGATTCCTGTGAAAGGCCTCACAGAGCAAACTGGATTTGTACAAAAACATTGTTCAAGCAAGAAAAGTATTTGGGGTAATTGATCAATTCCATTTACTGCTGCCATTTGGAAGAAAAACTTTCTGCATATTAATTTATCCAACAGTATTGATATTTTTTTTTAAAAAAACCCACTGCTACCACTGGCCTGATTTTAGAGTCTCTACATGAGAAAACAAAAGGGCACCAAGCCGGAAATCAGTTTAGAAGTTGTATTCCAGAAAAGTCATTCATCTGGGTATGATTATACAAACGTCTTATAAAGAAAACTACATTAAATTGACAGTAATTAAGTACAGATTATGGCTCTGGAAATGCTCACTCATGTGTTCAATTTTACTTTGAATTCAAAGATGTAGTTTTACCAGTGCAGCAAGATTAAAGTTTTACATATGTTTCTGAACAACATGAAAAAGAGGAAGCAGGGAAATGATGCTTGTAAAGGTTTTCGTCCAATTTCCTTAACAATGCTGTTGTGCAGTTATTCGGAAAAGCAAAGACATTCAGGAAATACATTACATGACAAAACAGGGGCACCGTTTGCAAGCTTTTGTAGAAACTTCTAAAGGAAGCCTTCTACAAAATAAAACTGCAGCGACTTTCCACTTCTGAGCCGGCCATACAACTAAAAAAAATACGGTCCAGTTAGACACAAAAAGACAGACACATCACAGCAAACGTGTCCCTTACTAAACTGTTACAAAACAGCTGTATCAGGCTGCATGTTGAAATGCTCAGGAAACCACATACGAGTCATTTGTTCCCCTGATGTACACAGCAGAGCAGAACAGAGGGACTTTGCCAAATGTTTTGTAAATTTATTCCATAGTCTATAGCAGGCATGGGCAAAATTCAGCCCTCCAGGTGTTTGGACTTCAACACCCACAATTCCTAACAGCCAGTAGGCTGTTAAGAATTGTGAGAGTTGGAAGTCCCAAACACCTGGAGGGCCGAAGTTTGCCCATGTCTGGTCTATAGGAATCTCTAACTTTGATACTTTTTTGTGTCACTTTGCCGTGGCAGAAAATAATGTATTAATGAGATGATGCACTCTAAACTGAAATAGATGCCTCCAGATACCCCAAGATCTGCTGAGGAAAGGGCAGGAATCTGATGCATTACACTACAAAACCTTCAGAGGTGAGTCAATTCATTCCTCAATGCATAATAGATGAGTGGATCTTCTCAGCTCCATGCCAAGAACAGGACAGCAAAGGATCTCCTGAATGCAGCGAGGCATAGGGAATTATCTTGGAGCTAAAAAGCCGAAGGATGTCAATCCTTTTTATACTTAACCACAAAAGATTTTCAATTTATTGATTACATTTATATTCCACATCTTCTCCAGCAATTACATGGTGGTGTTCATGTCTTCCTTACCTCCTGCATTCCCTTCATAATCATCTAATAATGTAAGCCAAGCAGAGATACTTAAGCCGCCCTAAGTTACCCAAGGAGTACTCACAGGACTCACATCTGATTCTCCTGAATACTAATTCAGTGCTTGAACCACTATAGCACACTAGCATATTATGACTCACATGCGTAAGGTATGCATTGATTTCACTGTATATAATCTAAATATGATTGAGTCTGAATCCAACATAATTCTTATAGTGTAGTCCTAAACTGCTCTTATTTAGGAGTAACCCCCAGCCCCAAATCAGAGAGACTGACTCTCAGATAAAATTTGATAAGCAAACAGACATATGTTTCCTGTTCAACTGTTATGGCCTGTTCCTAAACTCAATAGATGGAGCAGAAATATCCACAATCAATTCCTAAAATGTATCCAGTTTAAAAATAGTGACATTTTTAAGTTTCTCATTTGCATGCCAATCATTCTTTCAGTTACTAAAAATTTCTAAACCAACAGGTATTTCTTAATATCTCATTGTTAGGTCAATTTTTTTTTATTTTTGGGTGATGGTTCAAAGCAGAAACTGTGATTTTCATCCTATGAAAGTGAGATTTCTCGCCTTTCTTTGGATAAAAATAGTACATTTTAAGGTCTGAGGTCAGATTAAATTTGTTATCTGAGGCATCTCTAAAGTTATTATATATTTCAATCAACTCCATCTGACACCAAGATCAAGCCTATATTTGAATTAACAATGGTGAAAATATGGGTACCATACTGTTTAGCCCTCCAGATTTAAATAATGTTTACTAGATTCCCGTGTCTGCTTTTGCCTTGAGAACAAACATGTGGCGGAATTGAATGGCCATACAAAAATTTCGTATTTATCTCCTTTCTTATCTTGTTTTTATACAAGTTATCTGTGAGCAGAAGTTGCATTGATCACTGAAGCTTCTTCCACACAGCTCTATAAAATCTACATTGAACTGGATTATATTGCAATGTGGACTCGGATAATCCAATTCAAAGCAGATATTGTGGATTATTTGCCTTGATATACTGGGTCAGTGGTTCTCAACCTGGGGGGTCCCCAGATGTTTTTGGCCTTCAACTCCCATAAATCCTAACAGCTGGTAAACTGGCTGGGATTTCTGGGAGTTGTAGGCCAAAAACATCTGGAGACCCCAGGTTGAGAACCACTGTTCTGGGTTACATGTCTGTGCGCAAGGGCCCTGAGATATATAGTATGGATTAAAGTTTGGAATGGTTACTTTGGGAACTAGTGGTCATACTTTGCTGGGGATAGGGGCGGAAATGTAGTCCAGAACAGTAATTTTTCTGTATCTGGGTCAGATACAGAAAATGTATACAGGCCTCCCATCTTTCTGATGTCCCAACGTATGCACCGAAGTCACTGAATATTCACAGCACATAAGAGGTGAGAAAATAAGGCCCCAACAATACTACACCTGTAGTAGTTGATATTTAAGAATATATCCGGAAAATGATTATAAAAAATAGTCAGTCTGATAGATGAATCTTCTGTGTACAGTAAACATGTCCTTGGAATACTGGTTTCAAAGCTATAACTTTAAAAAGGCAGCTGAACATACATTTCAAAGCCAATGTAGCACTACGGCTGTAGCGTGGGATTGAGTCAAACCTGGAATTAAATATTAAACAAGACAGAGTGATCTCAGGTCAAGCATTGTTTCTCAGCCTAAATCAGTCGTTCCCATCCTTTGGTCCTCCAGGTGTTTTGGACTTCAGCTCCCACTATTTCTAACAGCAGTTAAGCTGGCTAGGATTTCTGGGTCTTGAAGTCCCAAAAACCTGGAAGATCAAAGGTTGGGAACCACTGGCCTAAACTGAACTCTTAAGATTGTTGAGGAAAAGGAAATGGGAGATCTCTGAAGAAAAAGGTGTGGCTTACACATTAAGATTAAATGTCGTTAACTTTTGTGTGAATTCTTTCCAAATTAGCACTAAGTTGTCTGCTCTAAGGTCTCTCTCACTTTGCAAACATTGGGCCCTTGGTATGGGTCCAGGACCCCTCATGGATACCAAAATGCACGGACACACAAGTACTGTTATATAGTGTGATAAAATGGCATCTCTCATATAAAATGCCAGAATCAAGGTTTGCTTTTTGGATTAAAAAAAATATTTTTAAGCAATGGATGGTCAAATCTATAGATGCACAATCTGTGGATACGGAGGGCGGATTGTAACTGTAACATTATGGTTCCACTGTGACTGCCATGGTTGTGTCCTAGGGGATCCTGAGGTTTTGTGTCTGGTGGGGCAGTAAAGAAGCACACCAACTGAGAATTAGAAATACTCTTCCCTAACCTACCAATCCCAGCCTTCTACAGGATGTTTCCATGGTAGTGAAAGTGTCATAATTGTACTGCCTGAAACTCTATGGAAGCAGAGCTCAAGCAGGAGACATTTTGGTCTGTTTTTTCTCCAGTAGCAACTTACTTCTGCTTTTGAAACAAGAATGAAATGGCAAAATCAGCTTCTGAAAGGTCATGGTGGGTATCAGATATTCAAAGGGTAAAATAAAATTATCTGTGCAGCCTAAAGGCCCAACATTCCTGCCTTGGGACCACCTGCCACCTTAAAGACTGCCAACCAATTTAAAATGTTGCCTGCCTTCACTGTGAACTCTTTCTTTTGGCAAATATGGACATATTGATGCCATATGAACAGTCTTGATGGGCGAAAAAGTTGCATTTCATCCACTTCTGAGTTACTAAAAGCCTTTGAGCCAGCTAGCTGGATGGATTTTGCTGGAGTTTGTCCAATTTTAATATCCATTTCAATTTCAATCTGAAAAACAAATACAGTGACCCCTCCACATTCACTGACATTATGGGCACAGGACCCTTGGGAAAGTGAAACTTTTTTTAAAAAATCGGAGGTCAATTTTCCCTGGAAGCAAGTCATAGAGATTCCTAGAGATAACGTTTAAATAAAATCTGCAAAAGTCAAAAATGCAAATGTTGAGGGTCCACAGTGTGCTCCAACTGCCAACAAGTATGAAGGTTAGCCATCTCTATCTCAAAATGTGCTGTGAAACAACTATTCAGTGAAAGATTTAGAAAAGGAACAGAACATACATGGGCTTTGTACAGAATAAATTTGAAATGTGAATTATTGACTAAAATTATTGACCAAAATCTTTAGCCTGCAGAAAAGAAGGCTGAGGGGAGACACAATCGCCATGTAAAAATATGTGAGGGGAAGTCATAGGGAGGAGGGAGCAAGCTTGTTTTCTGTTGCCCTGGAGTCTAGGATGCAGAACAATGGCTTCAAACTACAAGAAAGGAGATTCCATCTGAGCATTAGGAAGAACTTCCTGACTGTGAGAGCTGTTCAGCAGTGGACAGCCTCCACCACACTCTGCCCTGGAGTGTGGTGGAGGCTCCTTCTTTGGAGGCTTTTAAACAGAGACTGGATAGACATCTGTCAGGGGTGCTTTGAACGTGATTTTCCTGCTTCTTGGCAGGGGGTTGGCCTGGTTGGCCCACGACATCTCTTCCAACTCTATGATTCTATGAAATCCGACTGGTTTACAACTAGGATGTTAACATGGCAGAATGGAAATAACTTTCCCTATGAAACTACTACTTGCTTCCTCATGCGAATAACAGCAGGAGAGTGATTTTTCTTCTTGTTGAAGGATTCTGAAGATGAAAGTGAAGTATTCCAGTTGTGTGCAATAAGCCACATTTGGTTTTCATTGACGTGTCCAGCTAACAGCAGTGACTTTAAACCCACTGAAAAACTCACTGCTATGTTCACTCTTGTCAATTTGTCAAGTTTTGAACTTGTGAGTTATAATGCAGAGTCACGATCGAAGCCACCACAACTATATTAAGATCAAATCATTACACATTTATGATCAATTGTGTTTAAACACACATACACAGCTTTTTGATTTTTTTTAAAGAAGCAGCAAAGTGGAATTCAACAGATCCCTTAATATGTTTGCTTTCGTTTCCATCTATTCCCAATATGACACATATGGGGAAAATGTAACTTGTTTCAAACCTTTTAAGCCTGGCTTCTGCTAAATCGTAAGCTGTGGTTACAACTTCCTGAGGCTGCACAACGCCATGTCTTCCCTTAAAACTCTGTTAAGCTTTCAAAAAGAAAAATAATAATAACTCTGACCGATATGATCGTTCGCTGCTTCTAACACAAGAAGCATTGATTCGTTCTATTACTTTTTTAAAAAAGGCATACTAAACCACACTCATTGCTTGTAGGGTTTTTCCCCCTCCTTTTCACAAGTTACTATTAGAATACAAGAAAGAGGATGGCAAAAAGATCCCGTCTTTCAAAGATGTGTATGTACAGTATGGACATTCCTATAACTGCGACTTTTAAACTCCATAAAAGTCAGTTCAAAAGCTGACCCATATGAACCTCCAGAATATTTCTGGACTGAAAAGTTGCACAGAAACTATACAACCATTAACATGTATCAACCAGCTCTTCACAGGCTGGTTTATATAAACACAAGGCTTGTTCTTACATGAAGCAGACTAGAAAAGCTCTTTTCAACCTGCGGGTCCCCAGGTGTTTTGGCCTACAACTCCCAGAAATCCCAGCCAGTTTACCAGCTGTCAGGATTTCTTGGAGTTGAAGACCAAAACATCTGGGGACCCACAAGATGAGAACCACTGACTTACAGCCTTCTAGTCAGCACTTTGAAAGTGGGATCCCAGAATAAATGTCCAAAGTGGTGCATGCATACATAAATTAAGGAAATGTGTCACGATGCCCTTCCATTTTGTTTCTAATGTTAAAAGAAAGCTGGTGCCAGAGAGGTGACTTTCGACCTGGGGTTAATACCCATTGCTTATCCTACCTGTGGCACCTCAACCATCATTCCTACTGAATCTTGGAGGGACGTGCTCCTGCCCTGAAGCTCTGCACCACTGACATCAATAAATGACACTGGATCCTGCTGTGACCTTTGTGCCAGGCAACCCATCCCAAAGCCAAGCCAGCTCTCACAACGTCAGAGGACTCTCTGGCTCTCCCGTTTTCTCCTTCTCCGGAAGGATGAGCACGAAAGGGAGGAGGACCCCTTTGGTATCTGATGGGGCCTTGTGCAGTTCTGCATCAAAGCTGCCCTTGAATCCACCGTCCACTTCCACCTCTCCATTCTGGGACAGGCTGAAACGCAGCATCCCCGTCCGGTTGACACAGTAGATGGTGCTGCCCAAGGCAGCGCAGCGGAAGGGCTGGACGGGGCTGCCGGTGGGGCGCAAGGAAGCACACTGGCTCCAGTGCTTGGCCACCGTATTGTACCGGAAGACATCCACCCCACCCGCCTGCCCCGGCTCCCCGCGGCTCCCGCTGACATCAAAGCGGTAGATGAAGCTCTTGTAGGCCACCATGTCGGCTGAGCGGCGCCGGCTGCTGTTGTAAGGGCACTCCCGCCACTCATCCCGCTTGGGGTCGTACTTGAGCAAGCGGTAGAAGAGTGAGCCGCCCGAGACATAGATCTCTCCATTGCAGGTGGTGGCCTCGTGGGCCACAGCGAAGGCGCCTTTGGGCAAGGGGGCCACAGGGCTCCAGCGGTCGGCCCGAGGGTCGTACCTCTCCACCGTGAAGAGGCACTCCCCACCCACGGCATAGAGGTAGCCGTCCAGGGCCAGGAGCTTGAGTTGCGAGCGAGGCTGGCCCATGGGCTTCACCTGGCTCCAAGTGTCTGTCAGCGGGTTGTAGCAGAACACCTTGTCAGACAGCTTGGCCCGCGACTGGTCCCCAGGTGAGGCAGCGATGCCACCGGCCAGGAAGAGATAGTTGTAGAGGACACACATGGCGCAGCCTTTGGTGTTGGCCTCCTCAGGCAAGTGGGTGAGCACCCTCCACTCTCGGTCGGCCTCGTGGTAGGCGTGGAGGAGGCATCCACCCTCTTCTAAGGAGACCACCGAGGAGGGGCTCTGGGGCCGGCTACTCTCCCGGCTCTGAGGCCGGCTGCCGCTTCCTAGTCGCTCAAAGGCGTCGCTGACCTCTGCCGCCAGCAGACAAGGCCGCCCGGCCTCCAGGCGCCGTCGGAGGATGAGGTCACGCTCGGCACCGCTGAGCCGCCCGTAGATAGCAGGCTCCCTTAGCACCTGCAGGTAGTGGTCGCCCATAAAGCGGTAGGCGGCCTCTCTCAGCTCGGCCAGCCTCTGCTTCTTGGCCAAAGTCAAGAGTTGGAGGCAGTTGTGGAGGCGGAGCTGGGCGCGAGCAGCCTCGGCGGCGCAGAGCAAGGCGCCGGGCATCTGCAGCACGCGGGCCGCGCTCAGCACCTCGGCCAGGTTGTCCGGGCTGACCGCGCGCATGCGCCCCGTGTACACATACTCCAGCAGCAGGCGCAGGGCCGCGTAGCTGACCCCTTTGAGGCGCAGCACCTCCCGCGAGGCGCGCGCGCGGAAGTAGTCGCTCTTGTCGGCCAGGGCCGCCTTGTGCGCCCGCACTCGCCGCCCGCACACCTCCAGCACCACGTCCGGCTCTTCCTCCGGCAGCCACGAGCAAGGGTCGCCAGCGCTGCCGCCCACGCCGCCGCTCTCTTGCTTCTCCTCGTCCGACTCGGCGTTGTGGTGGTGGTTGTTGTTCACCTCCCATTGGCTCTGGACCACGCCGCTGCTGCTGCTGCTGCTGAGGCTGCACGAGGAGGGGGACGGCGGCGAGGGAGAGGCGGCCTCGGAAAGAGGAGCAGCAGCGGGCGCCGAGGCTTGCTCTGCCCCGAAGCACAGCGCCGAGCCCAGGCTGCAGGGCGCCGCCGCCCCTCCGCCGCTACTCTCCATGGCTTCGGGCGGCTCCTTCCCCAGAGGCGTCAGTGGCTGCTGCTGCTCCTGCTGCTGCTGCTTCTCGGTCTCCTCCTGCTGCTCCTCAGCCGCAGCGCTGCCATTCTCACCTGCACATCAAGGAGACAAGAGGAGAGGACTGAGTGCTAGCCTCGCGCCCCTGTTCTGCCTGGCTGCCTTGGAAGGGCGCGCGCTTCGGCCTCGCCCCCCTCCCCTTGGCCACGCCCCCTTCGCGCGCCTCTCCCTCTCCCCGCGCTCCCCTTCCTTCCAAGGCAGAGACTCTGAACTCTTCAACCTTCCCGCCACACTCGCCCATTAGGAAAGGATGGATCCAGCATCCTCAAACTGCTGCCTTCCCGTTGTTTGGGCCTTCAGGTCCCAGAATCCCTGACAATTGAACAAGCTCGTTAAGGCTCCTGGGAGTTGGAGGCTCAAACAGCTGAAGGGCCGCAGTTTGAGCATGCCTGGGATGGAGCCTGGACCCCCTCCTTTGAACTGCCGGGCTTCAGGCTCACATGAGGAGATCCTGCTATAACAGGCTTGGGCAAACTTCGGCCCTCCAAGCTGTTTCGGATTTCCAACTCCCCCAACCAAACCCATTGGTCTGGGACACCCCCTTTGCAAAACAATGGCAAAAAGGAAGCTATATGTTTATACACACACACAATATATGTGTGTGTGTGTGTGTTTACATGTGTGTGTGTTTGCGTGTATGTATGTCATTCAAGCTATATGGCCATGTTCTAGAAGCATTCTCTCCTGATGTTTCGCCTGCATCTATGGCAGGCATCCTCACAGGTTGCCTCACACTCTCTGAGGATGCCTGCCATAGATGCAGGCGAAACGACAGGAGAGAATGCTTCTAGAACACAGGGAGAGTGAGTTGAGCTCCCTCTGTCAGCTCTAGCTTCTGCAGGAGAAGCTTCCCACAGGATGGTAAAACATCTAGGCATCACCTGGGCAATGTTCTTGCAGATGGTTAATTCTCTCACACCAGAAGCAACTTCTGACATGAAAAAATAGCGAATGTATACATGAAAGAGATGTGACTCATTAGCAGTTTGTGGACTGAGCTTGACACAGTGATGGCTGCACCTGCTTCACGGTGCAAATAAAGGTGCATCTGCACAGTAGAACTCAAGCAGTTTAGCACCACTTGAACTACCATGGTTCAATGCTAGGGGTTTGAAGTTTGGTGAGGAAACAGCACTGTGGCAGAGCAGGCCAAAGGCCACATAAAACTATAACTGTTAGGATTCAATAGCACTGAGCCATGACAGCTCAAGTGGTGTCAAACTACATTCGTTCTACAGTGTAAAAGGTACCCTTAGACTCCATTCAGTGCACAGCCAGGAGTTTTCTCATGTTGAAAAGCTGGCACCTCAGTGCACAGCGAAATGACTTATGGTGTGTAAAAATGTTTATGCAGCTAAAGCAAGAACCGGATTGTGGTTAGGGGGTTGGATTGAGGTTTGGGAGATCCAGGTGCTTTGCCCTACTGAATCATGAAACTCACTGGGGAACCTCCAGCAAATGCCTCTCATTATAAGCTTGGCCTATCTCACAGAGAATAAAGGAGGGCAAGAAGAGAGCCATGCAGCCCACTTTGAACTCATTGAACAAAAGGCAGGATATTGACAAAAGCAATTGCAAGCATCAGAAGCTTTGCCCATTTCCAAAGAAATATTTTCAGGACAAGTGCCAATCAAGTCTTCTATGCAAGCTATATTTTGGAAAAATGGCTTCTAGCTCTGTTTTATGTTGAATAACAAGAACCAGTGGGCACCTGCTATAATACAACGAGCCCTACATGTTCTCTGGGATTAAGGGCACAGGGCCCCTGTGAAGATGAAAAACTGCCAATAAAGATCTTGCCATTTTTCTTAAACTCAGAGAACACCTCTCTAGGAATGTCTAGCACTTCCAGCACAACTCTATGGTCAAATTCGGCTTGAAGCGGAACACAGAGTCACATTGGAGAACCTGTATTGCTAGAGAGGTGTTTTCTTTAGAAATCTCTAGTCCTCCAGCAAAGCTCTAGGTGACTCTAACTACATAGAGTCACCTAGAAAGAACATTTTAAAATCAAATCTGTGAATAATCAAATATGCAAAATTAAAAATTGCAAATTTGGAGGGACAACTATACATTTATCATCAGCTGTGCCATTCTCTGGGCAAAGTGTGACCTCCAGATGCTACTGGATCGCAGCTCTCATCACTGCAAAATAGGTATTGGTGAGGAATGCTGGGATATGCTGGTTCAACCTCTGGATGGATGCATTTTGACCATTCCTGATGTGGAGTGTGAAACACCTTTTGAATGCAGCCTGAGCTCAAGCCTATTGAATCAGCCACAAAGTGATTCAGCTATGGACGAACAAACTATATGTATATGTGTATATACACACACACACACACACAATTTGCAAGCAGTATAAACTCAGCCAGCACAGTTTAGCAGTGAGTGTGTTAGACTAGGATTATGGAGACCAAGGCTTGAGTCCCCACTCAGACACAGAAAGTCACTTGGGAAACTCACATTCTCAGCCTCAGAGGAAGGTTAAGACAAACCTCTTCTGAATACATCTTGCCAAGAAAACCCCATGATAGGTTTGCCTTAGGGTTGCCATAAGTCCAAAATTATTTGAAGGCACACAACAACAACCAAGTACAGGGCATGGCACTCTAGACATTAATCAGCTGCAGCTTCTATCATTTCTAGACACTATAGCCAATGTTTAGGGGTGATGAGATTCATAGTTGAACAATATTCTGATGGCCACACAAACCCCATTCCAGCAACAGGGAAATATGCACTCTTTCTATAAATCTTCCATTGTAATAAAGACATTTAAAACAATGGTGATTAAGACTTGTAGTCCCTCAATTCAATTTGGTGAGATTAATCTATCAAAGGAGCCCCAGGTGGTACAGTGGGTTAAACCAGTGAGCTGCTGAACTTGCTGACCAAAAGGTCAGCAGTTCAGATTCAGAGAGTGGGGTGAACTCCCGCTGTTAGCCCAGCTTCTGCCAACCTAGCAATTTGAAAACATGCAAATGTGAGTAAATTAATAGGCATCAATTTGGTGGGAAGGTAACGGCACTCCATGCAGTCATGCCGGCCACATGACCTTGGAGGTGTCTATGGACAACGCTGCCTCTTTGGCTTAGAAATGGAGATGAGCACCACCCCCCAGAGTCAGACTTAATGTCAGGGGAAACCTTTACCTTTTTAATTTATCAAAGCATTCCCATTTGCATAACGATTTCTCTGAGTAATTGAGGCACTTGGACTTTAAATATTCCTACTCTTAATTAAACCTCAAAGGTACAATCTCCCCGGCCCATGAGAACTGCAAAGAGAATCCCATATAACATGGCATTTGAACATTCTATAACAATCTAATACGGGAAAATGAACCTAGTGTGGTCTTGGTAATTTACACATCTTAGATATTTTTCCATTTATTTACTAGCTGGCTGACAGCCCAAAGGATGATCAAAAGTTAGTTCACAGTTATAATCAAGCTACCTGAAGTTCTTGTGATGGATGGCATCTTTTGTATTCCTTCTTCAGTGTACGGAGTGTGGAAAATGTGGTCCTTTTAAAATTATGTTGATTGTTTATTCTGATTATTTTTAACAGAATCAAATAGTCATTGAAAAATGAAGTTCTGAAATTATTTCAGTGGAATAAATTAACTGCAACACTGTACATTTTGTCAGAACATTTTAGAAGGCGATTCTTCATCTTTCTCTTCTTGTTCAGTATAGGAGCTGTCAATCAGCTTCAAAAAGATCTTCCATGTCTTATAGATTCAGCTTTCCTCCACCTATATAATAAATAAAAAATCAAATTCAGTTTAAAATGAAACTATCCTCATGCTGTACCTTTTGTCTAGACCAATTCCTCCCAGGGAAGCCTGTATATATAACTACTGTGCTTTTAATAGTGAGTTCTATGCTTCATAAGCTAAACATTCTTTTCCCCTTGGAGGAAAAATTCTGACTTAATGCAAGACTCACCACAATATAGTAGTTCATATCCTAACTCTTCTGCTTTTTACTGGAATAAGAGGGGATAACATTTCTATCCACTAATTAAGACTTACTCCCATCATACCTATCTACTAAAGCAGGTCTAGATGCAGTACTGTATAATTAGCCTGGCACAATGAACAGTGCGCCTGGAAAGAAGTCTGTGTTTCCACCCACATCAAAGGTTTCATTCCTGCCCGTTGCATGGGATCTAAATTTCTCTTGTTCTGAATGCAGGCTGAATATAAACTTTATTTGTACCCCGCCACCATCTCCCCAATGGGGACGCGGGGCGGCTTACATGAGGCCAAGCCCAACAACGCAATACAATAAATGAAATCACAACAACAATATAATAAATTACATAAATAAATTACATAAAGCATAACACATAAGGGCATAGAATGTGTTCTCAAGCCTGAGGAAGACACCATCCTTTCCCCCACTCCTTTACAGCTTCCATCAGAGAATATCCTCTCTACAGGGTAGAAACTTTCCACAATGTTTAGAAATTTCAGAAACCCCTGTACTTAGATTGTCAGTCAAGTTGTTTGTCCAGGTAATCAATTAAGCTGAATGCTTGGTGTTCGTTTACACTATAAATTCAGAATATTATTTCAAATTTCAGGCCAGTTTTGAAACTTATGATAAAAGCATGCCCCAAAGGTATGCCCCATTTGACAGAAGGAGCATGTTTCAGTATTTGGGCCAAATGAATCCTAAAGATTTTCAGATCAGTTTAACATTATAATCCAGGCGTGAGCAAACTTTAGCCCTCCCTCCAGTTGTTTTGGACTCCAACTCCAACAATTCCTAACAGCCAGTAGGCTGTTAGGAATTGTGGGAGTTGAAGCCTAAAATACCCGGAGGGCTGAAGTTTGCCCATGCCTGTAATTTTGTCTAATAACACATGGATGGCTAAAATCAATAGTTCATTTTCTGTATTCTGTAGATTCATAGAAGTAGAAGAGAGCACATGGGCCATCTAGTCCAACTCCCTGCCACTAGGAAAAGCACAATCGAAGCACTCCTGGCAGATGGCATCCAGCTTCTGTCTAAAAACCTCCAAGAAAGGAATTTCCACCACACTCCGAGGCAGAAAGTTCCACTGTTGAACAGCTCTTGCGGTCAGGAAGTTCTTCCTAGCATTCAGGTGGAATTTCCTTTTCTGGAATTTGAACCCATTGCTTCAAGTCCTAGTCTGCCTGTCTCACCAGAAAGAAATTCATTAATTTCAGAAAGCATACAATTCACATTTTGCATGTGCTTCATTTTCTGGAATGTCTTTTTTTACCTACAGAACAAAGCTAAGGTTTATGCTGTAGTTAAGAAACAAGCTCTTCCCAAAGTGTTCCGCAAAGTTTATGTAAACATTAAAAACTGGTGAGTGACGTATATGCAGGAATGCAAAGACCCCACTTACAACCACCACCACCCCCCCCCCCAAAAAAAAACACTTTTAAAGATTTGTTTTCTCTATGTCCAAGTACTCTTCTTGGTTAGGTAAGAAAAACTAAGAAAAGTTTGTTACAGATGAAGCGTTAGCCTCTAGTGCATTATCAGTGAACCTTTTCATTTATTAAAGAATTTATAGTATTTGTGTTTTCTGTGTTGCTCCTGTCGATTTAGTTTTGGATTTAAGAGAAGCTTAAAGTAGTAGACATGAGAACCTCCTCCAATCAAGAATTCTGCTGACAGTCTTGGCAGTAGCAGACTAGCAATGTCTTGGACATGTGCCTCTCATTTAGCAAACGGGAACTTAATTTGCCTAAGAAAGTCTTGGCGGTGCAATAAGGGAGTCTTCTGAGATAACGTTCTGCATAAGACTGATGTTTTTGTTATGTACTGAAGGTCACCAATTCCTTAGTACTAGTGCGGTTCATTTCTTCACTGCCTACTTCCTAATATTGCTTTTTGTGATGTTATAATTTTAATTTAGCTTTAGTTGCTGCTTTTTTTTAAAAAAAATTAAAGCTTTCGCCAAATGTCTGATTGATTTATAGGTAAAGATTTTTCATTCTTTTACCACACTGTAACAATCCAATCCTGCATTGCTTAGACCAGTTTTGCTTATTGCCTGCCATTCAATTTTTTGGGCTACCGCATGCAATGCATGGGAAATATCACTGAGCTGCGATCCCACCCAAAAGCATTTCAACATGATCTTGTGAACTATGAGCAGGATACATTTCTCAAGTACACCCCACAAAGCTTTCAAGATTAAGTATTTACCAGTATCTCATATCCAACTCTTATATTACCAACTGCAGGAGTCTCCACTTGAGCAATCCCAACTATGTCACCAACTGTGTGGTCTATCCCTTAGTTCACCAACTGTAAAGATTTCACTGTCTCCATTGCAATGACCAAGAGTTAGGGCTTTCCCTGATCTCCATCACTGCCACCATGTCCTGCAATCGGAGAGGATCTAAATGTTCTCGAGGTACATACAATATTTTATGCAACTTCTGTCCTCAATGAGGATCATCCATCTATATTCAAGGCTGTGACCTCAGCCACTTTGTCTGATTCCAGGCTCTCGGACATATGGCATTTCTAGAGACCAAAAACATACAAAATTGCATCTTTATTTACAAATGTTGAAAATGACACAGATTTATTTCTAGAAGACCAGCCATGGAATAATGAGACCTGATGCAGAAAGAAACAGTTTGACCTATAACCTGTTTAGTTTGTATTGAACCTGGAAAGGAGAAAGTAGAGAGGAGCAACCTGATGCAGAGCATTTCCAGCTGAAGGCCATGCATCAATCTTTGAAAACCTCCTCAGCCTTCCCTTGGGTGAAACAACCAAACTCCAAGGGGAATACAAAAATTGGGTTCCATGGACAGCCATTTACTGGAAGATAACCCTGGGGACTTCCCAGTTTCCAAATCACAGTGAGCGAAAATCCCCAGAGACCACCTTCTGGGTCCCAAGCATAAAGATGTGATTCCAGAGCCCTACCCTTCTCTGAAAAAGTGTTGAGGTGTATGCTAAAGTCATATATTTCTCCCTGCTACCTGCCAGTGGCTACCTATTTACAGAAACTGTCCTAAATCAATCACCATATAGTATAGGGTGGAGAGGGGGGACTCAAATGGGAGAAAATTCCTACCTAGCCCCCAAACAACAATTGAATACTGACACTTCACTGGAGGTGTGAAGGTGGGTTGCAAAGTGAAGATCCAAAGAGGGCATGTGAAGGGGCAGCCAGGTGTTGATAGAATAGCCTCTGGGTCTTCTCCCACTGATAGAATAGCCTCTGGGTCTTCTCCTACCACATGCAGCATTTTTGATACATAGCATCACATGCAATGGTCTCTGGTCTCCATCCCTGAAGGCTATCAAAAACATAAAGCCGTTCACTATGCAGGTGCGGGTATGTACCATATGTCATTAAAAACGCAATACACTTGTTCATTCATCTCAAGTTAATGCAGATCCTTACTAATCACTCAACTCAAACTCCCTTCTCTCAATCCACCTCTGGTCTAATTCAATCACCTTCCTAACTGTACTCTATTTAAACCCTGGGCCAATAAATTCCCTACTCAAACTGAATGCCCTACTGTCATTCACAAAAATATGCAAATTTCCCCAACTTTTAAACCAATCAGCATTCACACCAACATTCAGTTCTCCCCTCTTCAACCCATAACATTGCATGATGCTTAGTTGTCTCATAGATATCTCCAGTATTGGATTAAAATTACCGATTTCTTTGATGGGAAACATAAATATGACATATATTTGTTATTAGTCAACAAATATTTCTAGCTTTCATCTCTATGTGTGAGATGAGAATTTTTTGCATGAGAAAAGAATAATGTGTGTGTTTGTTTCATGATACATTGCCTGTAATTTAACTTGGGAGTGATTTTGCCTTAACTATAGGATGTGTCTTGGAGAGATTTCCCCATTACATCTGCTCTCAGGGTGCTTATTAAATTTCTTCATGAACCACTACTGGCTGTAGTACAGCCCCAAGGTAGTTAACAGAACTGAATTTTCCCTTGCTAGGTAAATACACATTTTCCCAGATAATCTCTGCAGCAGCAACAACAAAACCTCCAAGCTTACATTTCCATAATCAGACCACACAAGCCTAACCACATGTAGTAAGGATAATATTTTTCTTTTTAAAAAATCAGGGACTGTAACAACGATGCATAATATATTACTGCCACAATCTTTAACATTGACTACACAGATTGTCTAATGGAAATATGTATTGAGTTGAATGCCACTCTCACTATTCCTGGTATTACCTTATCTACTCTTGTTGGAGATATGACAGTGATAGCAACCAGGAGCAGCTGCCCCCCTAAGGTGCTTTCTCTATGTTTTGAATAACCCTTGCCTTATCCACAGGTCATATAAAAATCCATAATTTGCCTCAAGTTATTCATGGTAGACTTGTGCATGAATACACATTATTTTTTAGAGGCAGTACCTGTTGGAGATAGCAACCTTCTCAAGCCTCCTCTATTTGATGTTTGTCTGTTTATAATGTGTTGTTTTATTTCCTAAAGTGTATGTCTTCTTTGGTTTGCAATTTCCTTAGCTCTATATACTTGAGGCAGTGGGAAGGGCTGCAGATCACGTGACTGTTTGGAATGCATTTTAAACATGATGAGAGTTGAGGAATGACATTTAAGGCGTGAGTCAGTTAGAATACAGAAGTTAGTGTTAGAAGTTAGAAGACGGTTAACCCTTGAGTCAGCTTGAGTACAGAAGTCTGTTTTTCAGTCAGATGTCAGTGTAGGAAGTTAGAAAACTGTCGATGCCTGAA